CCCAATATAATTAGTTATGCACATAAATAAGTGCTTGGTATTTTCCTTGCAAAATCCCATATTTTGAATACCGTAGCGATGAATGGAATTGTTACTTAAAGGCATTTATTTTGCTGGACTGTAGTGCATAGGATAAATTGTCGTTACTGTAGTGATATATTGAGAAATAGTGTGTAAGGGCATTTGGCTTACAGTACTTAACTTGCTTACGTTTACTGGCATATGGAGAAGTAGCATTAGTAAATATTTGCTACTGCAGCATGAATCATTATTTTAAAGACACTTGCTTTGGTATACAAGGTAGCATTGAATAAAGTAGTTTGGATAACACTTGATTGCTTTTGAATACTGTAGCGTTGCAAGGAAAGGAGTAACACTTAGTAGTATATGCTTGCTGCACATTGTAGCCAAATTTTAGAATTAATATTTGATGGCTTTAGCTAGTACCCAGTTGCGCATAGAAAGTGATTTTTCAGAAGCATTATATTTACAATGTTGTAACAAGATTTAAGAAGTAGCAATTAATGGCACTTGGAGTATTAGTTAGTTTACTGAAGTGAAGTAGCATTAGTATTACTTGTCTTATGTTGTAGCGCTAGGAGTAATATTGAAAGCAAATGTCTTGTACTGTATCGGTACATAGAAAAGAAGTAGCATTAGTATTACTTGCTTGCTGTAGCATTACTATAGCGCAAGAAGTGAATTAATACTTAATAGCAATTGTTTTGGAATACCGTAGCAATATTTGAGAAGCAGTATGTAGGAGAATTAAATTGTTTTGTTATTGTAGGGAATTTAAGAAGTAATTTACGTTCCGGTTTACAAATACAATTATTTAATAATAATGATTTAATATCTTTAATAAATAATTTTGTAGGATTTATAAATAGAAATAATAGAGTTTTTGGCAGATAATTAATTAAGCGAATTTAGCCCAAATAGTCCGAATTATTATGCGGTTTATGGTAGTAATTTTGGTTGATCTGTTGGGTGACATTTTTGTTGAAAAATGGAATTTTTGCAGGTGAAGTCGAATTAAGTTGAATGCTTCCGGTTTATGAAATTGTGTTTGATTTGAATAAATCATGGAAGTAACATTGTTTAAACTTGTACATTACTTGATTTGTGAATTATAATTGCAATGCATGTACAATTGTTGGCATTTCATTGTGTTGGAATATGTGGTATGTGTATGTTAAGGTCGGAAGTGGTCTTAATTGCATACGAGTTGTTGGTTGTACATTGCATGGCATGGTTGGTCTTGAAATAGAGACGGTGAAACAGTGGGTTCATATTTTATAGACGTTGATCCTTGAATGGAAATAGACGTAGTGGCTTTGACCCGGAAAGGAAACATAGGCGGTGAAACATGGGTTCACAAAAATAGACGTTGATCCTATAGTGGAAATAGACGTAGTGGCTTTGACCCTATGTGGAAAAATAAGCGGTGGAACTTTGGGTCCACAAGTCGGTACCGCATTCGCATGTGTTGAGTCGTGTTGTGAGTCACATGCATAATTGTGTATATTGTGTATGTGTGTTGATGTGTTTGGTTATGTGCCAATATTGTTGTTGTTTGAATAATGGTTATGTGCCAATTATGTGAGTATTCAGATAATTGGTTTATATGGTTAATGTGTTGGAAATGGCTTCCTTGAGTACGGATACTATATGTGATAAAATGAATATGATCATGATGTGTTGCTTTATTTATTGCCATTGCTTTACCTTAATTACATGTTATATGATTATTGGAATTCTCACCCTTCTGTTTGAAAATTCTTTTGATGGCATTGTTCAGGTACCGAGGATGGTAGCGCGAGGCGCTAGTTAGCGGATGCATTGGATTGCAATCTGTTTTATTTTGATTAGAGTCGAGTCGATGCTCTGGTAGTAACACCTGGGGGGGGGGGGTATATTTAGTGTCGAACGCGTCTATTTTGTATTCGGATTATGATGTATATAATCCTTACTTTGTGTATATTATTTTGTGTATGTGAGACTTGATAACATATGCTTTATGTGAATTATCATAGCTTGATGCCTTGAATTATGTTTTGATTCCTCCATGAATGGAGATGAAGTTAAATATTGAAACTCCGTTGCGTTTGCATGAGAGAAAGAAGTTAAATATTTATGTATGTTTGTTTTGTGTTGATATGCTTAAATTTACAAACGTACCCTGTCCGTTTTTCTTTAAAATTTTGGAATGTGATGTGTGTTGTGACATCCCTTCCGTGCAATTAGAAGGGGTGTTACAATGAACTCACCAAAGGTTCTGAAAAAGTAGACGCATCGTTCATAAGGCTAGCCATTTCAGTGGTTGGCATGCCATATGGCTGTTCTCGACCCATCCAGGCCGTCGAGAATCCTGGGGGAATGTATGGTCGAGATCCTAGATTTACCCTTCGTGGGGGCGTTCTTAAAGAACCTCTAGGACCCACATACGTTAGTAAGGGTCCTGCTTGATTTGTGGTCAACATTGGTATTGAACCAACAGAAGTTGAGATATTTTTTCCAACGGTGGTAATAACTGTTGTTCCAGTAGTATTTGGTGGAGGTATTTCTCCATGATTTGGCTCATTAGCCATTCTACTTTCGCTATTTCTCTTCCTAACAGTACACTCGTTGGTTATTCTACCACTTCTTAATAACATGCAACGCTGTATACTTATAAAAGGAAAGCAATAACATGAACAAATAGACGATAAAAACTAGCAACATCCCATCAGGTGTGCCAATTTGTTTACCGTGGTTTTTGGTAAACAACCGTTGATCCTCCAAAAAGGAAAATCCTTTTGGTTACTCGCGGGATCGATCAGATTGATCCCAAAACATATGCTAATTTTTATGTTGGTTTGATGTGAAAATAGATGTCTAGGAAGAATGCACATTCGACCAAAGAAAAGATGCTTGTGGTTTTAGAAAGTAAGAAAGTTAATAGAAATGCAGGTAAAGATGCAGGAAAAGTAACTTTGCAAAATAAGATCAAAGCAGTGTAAAAGACTTTATTAATGAAAAGTGGTGTTTCCAACGTACATTTCTCAGTTTATCCTTTCACACACAGCGGGTACTTGGACAATATTTGAGTACCTAGCACAATAGGTTGAACACCCGGAAAAACTACACAGACTTCCTATTTTATACTAAAACTATGTAACCGTTGAAGGGTGGCTTTGCTCTAAGATGAAGACAAGTGTCATCTGCATGTCCCCCGACCTCTCTCTTCCAGCCACGTCTCTTTCCTTTAAATGCCGGTGAAACCGTCTTTCCCTCCAACAATTCAAATTCAAATATCCTTCATCTTTGGTATTGACACGAAGGTATGTTCTTTCGGTCGAAGGTATGTACTTGGACAAAGATGCTTTAAAGTAATATCATGATAAAGTCTACTATGATTCATCATGCCTCAATTTGTAAAATAAAGTCAAAAGATACAAAGATTGATTGAAGAAGTTTGACCCAATTGGAGAAGTTCTTGATCTCTTGATCACAAGTGTATAACTCTTTCAATTCTTAATATTTGGAAGTGGTTATTGTTTCTATGGTTTCTTATTATAATCCACAAGAACTTATATTCACATAGAAAAAGTAATTGTGCAAGAAAGATTATCAAAATTGAAAGGGGTTTCCAAGTTATTTTGGTGCTTTAGGAGCTAGGGTTTTGAACTTATAACAGCTATATCTTGTTCATATTTTTAGATTTTTGAGTGATTCCAAAGATATACTTCACTTTAAAGGGTTACCAACAAATCACTTCAAGAGTTTCAAGAAAATTTTGTGTGGAAGATGCCTAATGATGAAGGAAGATTACAAGTCCCTTAAACAGACCATCAAATTTTCTTATGTGACTTCAAAAGATCATAACTTGATCAATGTTTATCTCCTTGAGCCCTTTCTTTTTTCACAATGATCTTAAGGATTTTAACTGTAACTCTTCTTTTATGTGCAAAGCTTAAAAATGAGTGAAAGATGTCCTAAGAACCCAAAAGATCATGGGTCACCTCATGAATTCTTGAACTGTCCCACCTAACTAGTCATTAATTTACTTTCAGCATATACACAAAAGAAAAATTCATTGTAAGTTGTGTTAATCTTAAACTTAGGACTAAAGATTTGAAACATTAAGAAAATAGAGTGAATTTTATACTAGGTAACTTTTTTTATATGTGTTATTTATTCTATACGTGCAACTCTAAAGATATCTCTCCAGACAAAGAGGACTACAATAGATCTCAAAGTTCTCACTTAAAAGAATTCAACAATGTCGTGTGCACAAGATTGATTTTGAATCATGAACCTTTAATTAAGTTGGATATCCGAAATAAACATTGTAGCATCTTAAAACATTAAAAAAAATACCATCAAATATTTTCCTTTTAAATTGGTATAATTTGAATATTCAACTAACAATTAATTATATTAAATTTATTTGTAAAAAAAATTTAATATTTTAATCTGACCTTTATTCAAGTTATTGTTTATTTTCAAACTACCAAAGAAATAGTCATTGTTTATCATAATAATAATAATAATTTTTTAAATTAAAAGCATAATTGTAGCGAGTCATTGTTATGGTGTCTCATGTTTTCGTTTACTTAACTTTCCTTTCTACTTCTTGGAAAGTTCTTAAATAAACACAAACCCATTTCACTTCTTGATCATCTTCTCTGCATATTCAGAAATAGAAACCAACACATTTAAGTATGTCCTCAAATTTTGAGATCCCAACGAGTAAGTACACCTCAATATTGGGTGCTAAACTTGATAAGCTTCCTAATCAAGATGAAGCTATAGAGCTATTTCAAATATGGAAGAAAGAACATGAACGAGTCTACAGTGATCTAGAAGTGACGGCAAAGAAATTTGGCATATTTGTTACAAATTTGAAGTATATCACAGAGAGTAATGCAAAGAGAGACTCATCTCATAGCGTTCTTCTCGGTCCGACCAACTTTGCTGATTTGAGCTTCATGGAGTTCAACGAAACATACATGACCATGAACACTGACACCGTGGATATTGTGAAGGATGAAATCGTTCATGGTTCAACATCTAGTGATCCACCTTCATCCTTGGACTGGAGGTTGAAAGGAGCTGTCACTCCTGTTAAGAATCAAGGCCCTTGTGGTAAGTTAGTTGTGTTAGATACATTTGTGTTTTTCATAATTCATATCGCATTCTACTCTAACACACAAATTAATCCTTTCTTAGGTTGTTGCTGGGCATTCGCATGTGTTGGAGCCATAGAAGGAATAGTTGCAATAAAGAAAGGGAAGCTTATAAGCCTCTCAGAGCAAGAACTTCTAGATTGTGTACCAAATAAAGGTTGTGGTGGAGGATCTAAGTCTGATGGATTCAAATGGGTAATAGGAAACAAAGGGGTTGCGAGACAAGATGATTATCCTTATACGGCAAAGAAGGATGTTTGCAGATCTGGCCAGGTTCTTAATTTCTATCAATTTTATTATTATATAATTTCTATAATCATACTTTAAAAACTAGTGTTATTGATTCATATCAGTTCCTTTTTTTATGAAATGTAGATTTCAAACAGTGCAAATAGTGATATTGATTCATATTATCTCGTGGATAGAACTGAGAGAGGACTATTGGCTGTTGTTGCTAAGCAGCCTCTTAGTGTTAGTATTTATGCGAAGTCTCCCGAGTTTCAACTTTACACCAGTGTAAGTGGTTATATAATGTAGAGTTCTTATCTTCTTATTCATATCCAATATTTGTTTTATTTACACTAATTTAACACCTAGCTATATGATCAAGGTTTTAAAAAAGTGTTTGGTAACGAAAGATGCTGGTATTATTATGCACAATTTTTATTTTGAAAAATAAAATCAAAATAAAAAAAACCATTATGACAAAACGCCTTTATTCAAACAGTTTTATTTTAATATCTTTTACATTTGTTAATGAAAATAATATATTTACAGGGAATATTTAGAGGTGACGATTGTCCCGTGGATTCTTTGGAGGTAACTCATGGCATGCTTATAGTGGGTTATGATTCCATAGAAGGTGAAGATTATTGGATTGTAAAGAACTCATATGGAGAAAAATGGGGAATGCATGGTTATATGTATATCAAAAGGAACACTGGTAAAAAGTATGGAGTGGCTGCAATCAATGCATGGGCTATAGATATAGTTAAAAATAAATAAAAATATGAGAATTAAGTAAAGTAATTTCTTTTTCTCGCTCTCTAAGAAATAATTTAAAGCTGGATTTATGGTCTTCTGAGTCTATAGTTTGTTATGTGGTTATTCTTGATGTTGTTTTGAATATGTCGATTCTATTGTTCTTGATTGTTATTCCTGATGTAACATAGCAGTCATGATAATAAATTTAGTTCGTATTTTTTATTAGTAGTCTCTTGCTCCTATACAGTGAGTTAGATAATTTAAAATTTAGCTGTCAAGAGGGTTCACATTTAAAACCCTAAGGTTAACAAAAGAAAATATCTAGGTTCTATTCTACCCTATCATAAGTAGACATGATTTAACAATCAATGAGTTTTCAAGACGAGAGTGACTTAAATAACTTTAAGTGGTAATGTTAGACATGTATTAGGTTCTATTCTACCCTATCATAAAAAAAAACAAATGGCAAAACAACAACATCAAATAACAACATTAAGTAAGATTGATATCCCAAACTTCAAAGAAGCAACCTCAACATAGAACACTCGATTGAAAGCAATCAAGTAACATGCAAAGTTTAAGATAACAACCTAATTATTAAGACAAATTTTAAAACATTACTCAAAAGGAACAAAGACATCAAAGCATATCATAAACAAACAAATCATGAAATCACAGATGAATTTCTCATCGCAATAGAAATTCTCATGAGAACAACATATGACAATTGTAAGTTTGGACAAAACAATCAAACAATAATCAACAAAATGCATCATCAAAACGATTCATCTAAGCATGGAAAACCAATGATCAAATAAGCAAAATATTGAGGCATTAGAGCATGACAAGTGTTCATGTCATGTGTTAAGAAGTCTAACCAAAATGATTGCACAAGTGCATTTCTAAATATAGGCATCAACATAAATATTTACCAATCATCTAAACGTTTATCGAGGCTCAATAAAATTCACTTAACATGCTATCAAACAAGAAAAAAATTGTACCAAACTATCATGAAATAGCTAATCATTGGAAAATCTAATAATGGGAAAATATCGTATCATTAAATTTTTGTAGTCTTTAAACTGTTGGAACAAAGGTTTCAAGAAAGATGATTTTGTGAAAACAAGAAGGATAAGCGAGAGAGAGAGAGAGAGAGAGAGAGAGAGAGAGAGAGAGAGAGAAAATATTGTGAGTTAGTTAAGTGTAACTAACTATCTAACTGAATGTATTATAGCTACTCTCTTATTACAAACATAATGACCCTTTATATAGACAAGATGTCCAGGCCCAAATACACATGCTAAAAGCCCAAATAACTACATAACAATAATTAACCAACTAACACTCCCCCTAATTCATGTTATTAAGACTTCTCATCCCGATGCCTTTCTTAAACTCTTCGAACCTCACTTTCTTCAGAGGTTTGGTGAATATGTCAGCTAGTTGCACTTCTGTCTTGCAATGTTTGATTTCAATCTTCCCTTTGTTGACTTGATCCCTCAGAAAATGATACCTTCTTTCCATGTGCTTACTTCGACCATGACACACTGGGTGATTCTCAAGGTTTATAGCTAACTTGTTATCAACAAACAGCTTCATCTTTGATTCCATTATTCTGATTTCTTTAAGTAGCATTTCGATCCATGCTGCTTGGCATGTAACATATGATGCAGCCACATATTCTGCTTCGCATGATGACAAAGCCACAATTCTTTTCTTCCTTAAACTCCAGGAGATTGGAGCTCCTTCGATCATGAAAGTGTATCCTGCAGTACTCTTCTTTTCGTCTTGATCTCCACTAAAATCTGAGTCAGTGTATCCATGAACTTCGACATCTGAGCTATTATTTTATTTCTTTGTTAACAGCACACCATGATCAATAGTTCCCTTTACGTATCTCAGCACCCTCTTTACTGCGATGAGATGACATTCTTGAGGCTTCTCCATAAATTTACTCAACAATCCTACACTTTGCCATATATCTGGTCTAGTATTGCAGAGATACCACAAGGATCCAATGATTTATTTGTAAATGGTCGAACTTTCAAATTCATCATTTGATTCCTTTTTCAGCTTTGCTCTAATCTCTAATGGAGTAACAACTACCTTACATTTTCTCATATTGAACCTCTTCAGTATATCTTGAGCATACTTCATTTGATGCAAGAAAACTCCTTCTTCGATGTCTTTTAATTCCATTCCCAGGAAATATGAGAGATTCCCTAAATCAGACATTTCAAATTCCTGCATTAACTTTGACTTTACCTTCATTATCTCAGCTTCATCTGCTCCTGTAATGAGTAAGTCATCAACATAGAGACATAAAATGATTTAGTTGACACTTTCGATATCACTTACATATACTCCATGTTCAGACACACACTTTATGAAGCCTGCTTTGATTAAGAAGCTATATATCCTTTTATTCCAAGCTCTAGGAGCTTTCTTCAAGTCATAGAGAGCCTTCCTTAATTTGTAAACTTTTGACTCCTTCCCTTTAACGTCGAAACACGGTGGTTTAGTAACGTAGACTTCTTCTTCCAATGGACCATTCAAAAATGCTAACTTTACATCAAGTCGATGCATTTTCCATCCTCTACATGTAGTTATAGAAACAAAAATACTGATTATTTCGATCCTCTTAACAGGTGCATATACTTCATCAAAGTTAATACCATGTTTTTGTAGAAAACCTTTGGCCACCAGTCTTGCCTTATTCTTTGCAATCTCACCATTTGGCCTTCGTTTCACCTTGTAGATCCATTTCACATCGATTGGTTTCTTGTTGGTTCTTTCGACAAGCTCCCAAGTCTTGTTCTTATCAATGGCTCTAAGTTCTTCTTTCATGGCTTCACACCAATTCGAATTGCTCAAGGCTTTGCCCAAATCAATTGGTTCTGCTTCAGCCATCATCATGGCTTCTTCGATTAAGTCACTATCTACATCAATTGCTTGATCTAGAAACCTCTCATATCCAATCAGCCTAGTCCCACTACTACAAATAAGGGAAAAGACAGTGCTTTTTTGGCTTTTAACAACGCTTTAAAGCGCTGCCTAAAGCAGCGCTGCTAAAAGAAAAGACAGCGCTTTTTTTCAATGTAAAAGCGCTTTCTTATGCCCATTTTAGACAGCGCTTTTAGAATAGACAGCGCTTTTTTATATACCCCTTTAGCAGCGCTTTTGCTTTAGACAGAGCTTTGTTATTTTTTAAGTTAGGCTTTAGACAACGCTTTCCTTTAAAAGCGTTGTCTATTCCCCCATTTTAGCAACGCTTTCCCACTTTAGGCAGCTCTTATTTTTACAGCGCTTTTCTCTTAAAGCGCTGTCTATTGGTCACGATTTTTTTAAGAAAATACCTATTTTGACTAACAAAAGCGCTCTCCAATATATATAATGCATTTTAATCATAATTTTAACCATATTTGAACCAGGTTTTCACCATATTATGCACCATATTTGGTAGTTTCATTCCAATAAAATATGCATATATAAAAATTACACATATATATAAATTGATGATATATACAACAACAACTACAAAATTTATGATACAAGTTAAAAATCCTAAAATTCAAAATTGATGTTACATTTACATCTTACTATCTTCGAGAATTCTCATGAAACAACAACAACATGAATATCCTAGCTCTATCTTCTACACATGCACCTATAAACCTGGAAAAAAAACCAAATGATCGAAATTCGTAACATGATAATATTAACGTTGCACTTTATTCGAATATAATTTATACTAAAAACTCCAAAGTTCTCATCAAAGGAAATAAGACAATATACCTTAGCTTATAAAATTCTCAACCCGATAATGAATTAACACCATTCCTCCATAAGTTCATCCAATTGATCTTTTGAGTAATATGCACAATTGAATTCCTCAAAGTACTAGATATATAATAATATAACATAGTATGTGATTTAGTTAAAACAATATTTCATTTTATGAGAAACACAAAATATGAAAATAGTATGTAATTCCTAAGTTAGAAATCCATACCGTGGATGGAATCTCTAATTGATCCAAAAGAATAGTTTCTTTCGTAAACCTCAATATGAAATAGCCGCAATCTATACTGTTACACTGGCGAGGACACTACACATGGAAAGAAAACACGAATATATATCAGGATATACCCCTTAAATTTTTTTATCAAGTATCATCACTAATGTAATCAAAACTGAATATCTCTTTGTGAAAATATACCTCCACTCTGATCCATGTAACATTGTTGGCTCTACTTTTTGGCACTTGAATATCTCTTTTGGAGCGAAAAGCTAGTAGAACGCTATAATAAAATATAGATGGCTGTTTAGAACAATCTCACACAGAAACATAAACATAAACACGAATCCATATATATTGACCATAAACATAAACATAAACATAAACTTGAATATCTCTTTGGGAGTAAAAAAACTTACGTGTCAATCATCTGCTTCAAATCTGGATATTTTGACCAATCATTGTATAACGAATCCAGATAATATACAGGTTCTCTCATAGGATTAATCGCAACCAATAACATGTGTCAACTGTAAGATTAAACAAAGATTAAACAATGGCCAAAAACGGAAAATTATAATAGATCAACTTAGGATGAAAATATAACCCATTGCCAGTATTATATGGCAAAAAGAACAACTTCTCAGTATCTTTGCTGGCCACGAATAAACCGAGTACATATGATATGACATCATCCGGTCTTGTTACAATTAACCCTGAATTGATAGTGTTGGGAGCTAAGAAGCCAAATCTTGCTTCTAATCCACGCGGGCGCACAATGTTGTCATACATAAACCTTAAATTAAAACATCATTAAAATTATACTATGTTCATTGAAATAAGGAGATAAATTGTTT